ACTTTCAATCTGGAGGTGTCTTGGGTCTAAAATGAGTCTCTTGCAGATAGCATATCGATGGGTCTTGTTTTTTATCTGATACCCTGTATCTTTTGATTGGGGCATTTAGCCCATTTACATTCAGGGTCCAATTACTCCTCTTAATTAATAACACATGAAAAGCATAAATAAGGGCTCATGGGTGGCTCAGTCGGTGAAGCGTCTGCCCTCAGCTCAGATCATGACATCAGGGTCTTGTGATCGAGTCCGTGAGGGCCAGGCTCAGCAGGAAGTCTGCTTTTCCCTCTTCCTCTGCTCCTACCCCTGCTCGTTCTTTCTCTCCCCCAAATAAATAAATATATAAAAAGCTTTTTTAAAAAAGCATAAATAATTGGAGGATAAGGTACTGATATTAATCCAATAAAGTCAAGTACTTTAAGTAACTTAATGCTCTTTAATGGGGAATTCATACCCTCCTCTCAACTCTAATAATATCTGTGCCTTGCTTGGGGGCACCTTGCACCTTCTCCCATAAGACACAATATTTGCATACTTATATTATCTTATTCTATAGACTGGAAGCTTCTTGAGGCCAAGGACTGGATCTTCTGTATCTTTGTGTCACCTATAACAAAATTCAGTGCCGTGAATTTAGGAGGTGGTTAGTGAATGTTAAATGGAATTCAGTATATTTAGAGGTTTTTGTTTGTTTGTTTAAAGGATTTTATAGAAAGAGGAGAAATGGATGTTTAAGTGGGCTGATATGGACAGTGTCTGGGAGGGGTCTGTAGGTATTAGTGAATGTGGTGGTGGGGGGGGGCAAGGGTAGACCCAGAAGACAAACAAGACCACCTTACAGTTTTCCTGGCAGCCCAGTCATATCAGAACACAACAATCTCCTTATTAAAGAAAACTTCATACATGTATCAAAACAGGATTTGCTCTGTATCTCTTTTCTCAGAATATCCCCCGGCCCTCTCCAAATGTTGACACAAGCGATTCATGTCATTTTGAAATTGGAGCGTTTGGCTTCTCCATTCCCTCTTCTACTCTGTGAGTGCCTTGGTCACAACATGAACTCGTGGGAAACAACCAAGACTCGAATTAGCAAGGGTCACATGTGTACATCAACAACCATATTCTTTGCATCAGGACAAGGGACCCAAAGAAAGTGACAGGACAGGAATTCCTTTGACTGTAGCTTCTGTGCTTTTCAGATGCTACAGACATGAGTTCTAAATAACACGCCATCATCTGCCAGCAAAGCCCTGCGTGGCCTGCCATTCTGTCATTGCCTGTGAGTTCTGGTGCTGTGGAGAGGGGATCACTACCAGCCACCCGCTTTGTGCCTTTTACACTCTGGCATCACTGGTGGGCAGACAAATCCAACCACGACTGGATTCTTTTTCCATTTCAAAGTGAGGGTCTCCAAGCTCACCTTGATGTGCTTCTCCCATCCTCATAGTTACTGGAGTATCAGACGTTTTTCCTGGTCTTTCTTCCTCTTCCATCAGATTGCAGGTTCCTTCAGGGTGTCTCCCTGTCTTAAATTTCATACACAGGTGTAGAGTTGACACTTGGTACATATGTGCAGAACTGGAATATGAAATCACTTTCTGATATTAGGGGGAAAAGTAATACTTGAAACATATACTAAAACTGTTTTTAAAAACATTCCCAGATCCAGAATGTTTACATGGCCCAATATGAAAGAGAACTAAAGAGAAAAATGCAGTCCATGATCTATGATGCAAATCAGAGAGGAGTGGTTAATGAAATATCTCTGGGACAATGTGAAGAAAAAAGAAAAATTACTGAAGATAAACTGAATAATCTTCGGGTAAAACTGGCAGCACTATTGCAGAAACTCCAGCTGGTAAGTAACAAAATTTGGAGTAGTAGGAATGTACTTTGTGGAGAGAGCACTAAGCTAGGTCATCCACCTGCTGGCTTCGGGCAGGTCATTTAACGTAGCCCTGCTCTCCCTATAAGGATATTGAAATCATAAATAAATGAACTTTGAAAGTACACATGAGAACATTTTTAAAAGGTCTGTTATTTTCCTCTCTCACAAAAATCAGAACTTTTGCTTGTGCTGTTGGTAGAGTTTGATCAACCCTGTCTCCTCAACAGTGTATTTCCAGTAGGAAATTTTTTCTAATTTTATCAGTCAACAAAGTATTTTAATTTTTATCTCAATACATAATTAAAGATGGGCTCTTCTAGTCTCTGAGGAGAGGTTAGAGAGGTCAGGAAACATTGTGTAAGTATGCTGTTCATCTTGTTTGGATGGACGAACGCATACAGAACAGGGCTCCTGTGATGGATTGAGCTAATGAGGGAAAGTCCATCTTCTTTCTACAGCATGTAGAAATGCTGGATATAATCCATAAAAAATTAAAATATGTATAGCCATGGTTGAAGAGTCTTTCCGTAGATGCTAGAAATAAATGGAGAAATCAACAGTGAGCCTAGGAAGCACGTGGTATTTTGTACTCAGACACAGGCCCTGAGTCTGGGACAGGAGACAGGGCCTTCCTGGGCCATACGAGGTGAGAGCGCAGGAGCTGAGTGCCCCATGGAGAGCCCTGACTGAGTGGAGGGTTACCTTGTCCAGGAAAGGGAGTCAGGGAGAGACCAGGAAATGCGCACACATCAGGATAGTGCGTGATGAGCATGGGCTTTGAAGCCAGGCCACCTGGGTTCCAGTCGGCTGTGAACATTTCAAGGTAAATCCATTCCTCCTTCACAAAATATACGTCTTTTGGGTTCTTTGGGATTTCTTTTATATTATTAAGTACAAAATGAAACTCAGAAAATATTTTTGCTTAATTTAAGTATACAGCAAAAATGATACCACCCTCCCCCTGCCTTAGGTGGCCTAGGCAACAGCTCTTGTGGTTCTTGTGGCTGTAAAGGGTGGCAAATGCTTTTATGTGTGAAAGGTCTGATACAGAGCTTGGCACCATGGTACAGTTTCAGCGATGATGGTTGTTCTACTAACAAAAACTCGAGAGACCAAAGAAATTCTGTATCATAAAAATCGAATACTACTCCATATCAAAGTTCATAAAAATTATTGGCTTTTGGGTATTAAGGAGGGCACGTATTGAATGGAGCACTGGGTATTATACGCAAACAATGAATCACGGAACACTACATTAAGAACTAGTGATGTAATGTATGGTGACTAACATAACATAATAAAATAAAATTTAAAAAAATTATTGGTTTTCATAATAGCACATCTATGTATGGCTAGGAGAAAAACATGAAAGAATAATGATTTGCTCTTCCTTCTATGCCAAACCCTTGGGTTTCCTGCACAGTAGCCAGAGAAATTCTACTAATTTGTTTTATTCACAAAGTTTGGTAAGGAGGCAAAGGGGCTTTAGCCCGTAGAGTATATCTAGTATCATTGGAGAGGTACTCAAAGGACTCCTTGCCCAAATAGATTTACTCTCATCCTTGACTTCAAATTTCAATTTCCACTGCCTCTGATCGCCAGAGCAACTGCACTGGTGTAGAGCAGAGATGAGAAATGAGGGGGACCCAAAGCAGATGGACCGAGCAGGCCCATGCAGAGGCTGGGGACAGAACCAGCCGGAAATCCTTAGAAGGAAGTCTGGTTTGCCAGGCACAGAGCAGAGCCAAAGGATTAGACTCAACCGAGCAGATGGAAAGCTGTCAGTGTCAGAAGGGGTCGCACGAGGCATTCATTGCTCAGGGCCAGTGAGTGTTTGAAAATCTAGGTGAACATGACTATCAGGTGAGCTTGTCTGTAGGTACAGGGCCCCAGTCACAAAGCTGGGACTCAGTACAGTCCAGCCTTGTCTGAGGCCTAGGGCAGAGGGAGCCGAGCAGAAGCACAGTTGATGGAACCAGGTGAGCGATGGAGAAGCTAGGATGGTGGTGCCACTGACTGGGAACAACATAAAACTGGAATTGTTTCTGAAAGATCCTTTCTCAAAATTCTCTTATCCATCAGCCCAGGTTGGAGAGCAGGTTAAGCCCATGGCTGGGCTTGAGGGAGTGAGATTTAATTCCGTAAAGAGGGAGCATTTGTCCAGCTGTTCCTGGACTAAGCAGCCCAGGGAAGGAGAGTATGAAATTGCCCAAATAGAGAACTGGGGGAAAGGAGAGAAAAGGAGACAGATGAGGGCAGCAAGCCAAGGGTTGGGGGTAAAGATGCTGCAGAGGAAGAGAAACGGCAGAGAAGTCAAAATCTGCCTACTCATTTGTTTTGCCTAGAAGGCTAAAGAATAATGAACTTTTATTTTAAAGAATTTCTTTATTTGAGTGAGAGAGAGAGCCCAAGGAGGGGTGGGGAGCAAAGGGAGACAGAGAGGAGACTCCCCACTGAGCAGGTAGCCCGACATGGGGCTCGATCCCAGAGCCCTGGGAACCTGACCTGCGCTGAAAGCAGCCATTTAACCTTCCAACCCCCCAGGCACTCCAGATTCATGAACTTTTAAAATGGGAGATGAGTGATGCCTGGGTGGCTCAGTTGATGAAGCATCTGCCTTCAGCTCAGGTCATGATTCCAGGGTCCTGGGATTGAGCCCTGCATCCTGCTCCCTGCTCAGTGGGGAGCCTGCTTCTCCCTCTGCCTCTGCCTCTGCCCCTCCCCCTGCTTGTGCTCTCTCTCTCTCTCTCTCTCTCTGACAAATAAATAAATAAAATCTTCAAAAGAATAAAAAAATAAAATTTAAAAAAATGGGGAGACGAGAGTCTGTTACAGAGAAGGACAAGGTGGAGGCGGAGTGGCTTTAGGAATATGACAAGTAATTAAATAGATGGAAAGCCAATTGAGTCTAACCTCCATTAAGGAAGAAAAAGAAATGACCCAAGTTCCTAACTGCTTGTGTGCACAAAATGAGGTTAAAGGTGAAAACATTTTAAAAGGTGAAAGGCATTGTTCCAGGGCAAGGTGGGTTTTGCTGCTGCAGGAACCGTAAGGAGGACTGTTCTGAGGCCACCCATATTACAGGGGTGCAGCCTGCAGCTTCTTGGCCTGCTCTGATTGTTGATTCTCTTTTCCAGGGTAGTCCAGCAGGAGACCAGGAGCAGATTGACAGGTATTTAGAAGCTTTGCTTAAAGAAGATAATCCCCTTTTCCGGAATGCTTTAAATAAAGTGACTACAGATGTGGGACACGGTCTCCCTTTAGAAAAAAGCGGAAAGTAATTCTCAAAATTAGAAGTCAGAAAAGATATTCCCTTTCAAAATGTTAATAAGACAAAGAAAGATTCTTTTCAAAACATATTTCCTTTTGTACTCTGTTATTGTACGGTTTGTCCTGTTTAATCCTAAGAACATCGTGTACTTTAGAAATAGAGACTGATTTACAATGTACACATTTGCAGTCGGTTCCCTAACTCTTCCAGTTATTTCAGACACTGTTCTAGAGTTCTCCAATTCCCACGTGAGCTACTAAGAAAGACAGAAATGTCAGTTAGGCTTAAATTCTGTTTTCACTTAAAAGACTATAAAAACTAGAAAACAGTGGTTTTCAAAATCAGTGTACAAAGGGTACAGAATCACCTCCTCTTAAAACTTATGTTGAAACAGAAAGACACTATGTCCATGACAGCCAATACTTGGTAAAGCAGAAAATATAAATCCTCAAAAACTATAAGATACAATTTATATGATAATCCTATTGTTGAGTTGTAGTACAAGTACATGTCTTCTAAGGACCATGTGAACACATACTACACATATGTAAGAGTTGTTTTTATATTTTCCTTGATAACAGATTATTTTTATTTGTTTAGAAATAACTGCCATTTTGGAAAAAAGCAATAAAACATTTAATGTTGGTAGAATTGTAGAATTTTAATTTTACGTACATACATACAGTACAAAATTCAGAACGTGTGAAATGGGATATGGTGGAGAGTCTGCACCCCATCCTTGTCTTAGACACTTAATTACTCCTCCCCAGAGGCGTGCTTTTACTAGTTACTTATGAATCCATCCAAAAACAATCATTGTACATAAAACCATATAAGTCATTATACAGGTATAAATACAAATGTAATGGCATCCAAGATTTTGTTGCTTTTTACAGTTAATATACCTTTAAGATCATTCCATGTCAGGCTCAGTACATGGAGAGTCTCTCATTATCTTTCCCTGCTCCTTATTATTCGATTCTGTGGACATACTAGAATTTAATTATTCTCTTACCAATGGTCCCTTAGATTTTTTCCCATTCTTTTGGGTTTATATGCACAGGTCTCTGTAAATATGTTTATTTCACACACGTGCAGGTATATGTTAAATAAATCTCAGAAGATGAATTGCTGGGTCAGAGGGCATGTATGTTTTATTATTAATAGATAGTGCCCAGTAGTACTCCATAAAAATTTTATTAATATACATTCCCACAGCAACATGAGTGCCTGTTTCCTCACACCTTCACCTACCCAGTGAATTATCAAACTTTTTTTTTATGTTGCTGACCCAAGTAGGTAAAAAGTGGTATATCCTTGTAGCTTTAATGTATATTTCTTATGCTATGTGTAAGATTGGGCATCTTTTCATGTTTAAAATTCATTTGAATTTTTAAATTTGGCTTTTTTTCCATTTTTCTATTTGGTGTTTTTTTTTTTTTTAAGATTTTGTTTATTTGAGAGAGAGAAAGTGTGCATGAGTGGAGGTGGGGTGCAGAGGGAGAGGGCAGGGTATTCAATGCAGGGCTCGATCCCAGGACCCTGGGATCATGACCTGAGCTGAAGGCAGACGCTTAACGACTGAGCCACCCAGATGACCCTGTGGTAAGTATTTTCTTACTGGTTTGTAGGAACTATTTTTATGTTAGGGAAATTATCTTTTTTATATTATATGTGTTATGGCTATTTTCTCCTAATTTTTTAAAATTTTATTATGTTAATCACCATACATTACATCATTAGTTTTTGATGTAGTGTTCCATGATTCATTGTTTGCGTCTAACACCCAGGGCTCCATTCAGTACATGCCCTCCTTAGTACCCATCACCAGGCTAATCCATCCCCCCACCCCCCTCCCCTCTAAAACCCTGTTTGTTTCTCAGAATCCATAGTCTCTCATGGTTCGTCTCCCCCTCCAATTTCCCCCCCTTCATTTTCCCCTTCCTACTATCTTCTTTTTTTTTAAACATATAATGTATTATTTGTTTCAGAGGTACAGGTCTGTGATTCAACAGTCTTACACAATTCACAGCGCTCACCATAGCACATACCCTCCCCAATGTCTATCACCCAGCCACCCCATCCCTCCCACCCCCCACCACTCCAGCCACCCTCAGTTTGTTTCCTGAGATTAAGAATTCCTCATATCTGTGAGATCATACGATACATGTTTTTCTCTGATTGACTTATTTCTCTTAGTATAATACCCTCCAGTTCCATCCACATCATTTCAAATGGCAAGATTTCATTCCTTTTGATGACTGCATAATATTCCATTGTATATATATACCACATCTTTATCCATTCATCTGTCGATGGACATCTTGGCTCTTTCCATGGTTTGGCTATTGTGGACATTGCTGCTATAAACATCGGGGTGCACATACGCCTTTGGATTACTACATTTGTATCTTTGGGGTAAATACCCAGTAGTGCAATTGCTGGGTTGTATAGTAGCTCTATTTTCAACTTTTTGAGGGGCAGAAAAATAAACAAACATTTTCCCCAAGAAGCCATCTCCTAATTTTTTATTGAAAAAAATTTTATGGTGTTTTGAGCCATATGGGATTAAAAAATTGGGGGGAGGGGGTTAATCTCCTTTTCTGGTTTTGAGTCCTATTTAGAAAGGACATTCTAATGTTAAAAGTATAAGGAAATTTTACTTTGTTATAATGACTTTCATCATTAAATTGTTAAATCTTTGATTCATCTAGAATTTATTTTCGTGAAGGGAGTAAGCTAAAAATCTATGTTTCCAGATAGATACAGTATTGTCCCCAAACTATTCATTGAATAACCAATCTATTCTCCACTGATCTGCAGTGCTATCTTTATGGCATGTTAAATTCCTATTTGCATTTTGGGCCAAGTTAAAAAAAATTTCCTATTACTTTTCATTGATTGTTCCAACTTTTCTCATGTTGTTGGACCCATGTTGTTTTGGTAGGGGTAGTCAATAATTTTACATTTCAGAATTTTCTTTTGTATGTTTAATTCTTATCCAGACCTAGAATTAGCATTTTTAGTCAACACCCACCCCTCAAACTTTATTTGCATTTTGTTTGGTGTGTGGTGGTGTAATAGATTAAGGTAGAATTGCCTTTTTTTAATATCAAGTCTTTCTACTGGGACCAAAATATGGTTTTCTGTATGTTCAGGTCTTTATGGGTGCCCTCTATTAGCATTTAAATTTTTTCTTCATATACGTCCAGCACATTCTGGTTAAATTTATTGTAATTTAGATATATTCTTTGACCTTTTAGAAATGAAGTCTTTTTCCCATTATCTTATAGCAGGTTAATGTTTTATATACTTTTCTGAGTTTGGGATATCAATATTGTATCCAATATAAGAATCCTTATACTATTTGTAATAGTTTTAAATATTTTTCTGTATCAGCAAGTAATCATTATGCAGATTTTTAAAAAAGCATCATTTATATGAAGAAATACAGTTTCTGGACCTCAGGTCCTCGTATTCTTGATTTACCCAAAAATCTTCCTTCCACAAGAGATTTCCTTTGCCCCTTGAAAACTTTCATTATCTTTCTCTTCCATCAACACCAGCCATTCTTTTCTTAATCTAAAAACTGGTGATTAATAAATGTTAATGGTGATAAGAAGTCAATGCCTCTGAACATCCTTCTGGCAGACATTTAGAAAGAATCTGCACAGGAACTTCCCCAGAGGATGGTCTTTGAAGATCCTAACAGGATATTCCTTATATTTCCTATCAGGACTGAATCCTCATCAGCTCATCTTCTTTCTTTGTCCTCCACCTGAGGAATCTCATCTACTCTAATGGATTCAAGTAATAAACATCGGGGTGCACGTACCCCTTCAGATCCCTACATTTGTATCTTTGGGGTAAATACCCATTCCAAATGAATGAGTTCCACATTTCTATCACCTTATTGAACACCTGTTATTCAACTGTCATTATGGAATCAACATTTTTCTATTTTAAAGTCTACATTGGTATGTTTGAAACAAGATCAATCCTATATACCCTAACTACCGCCACCTCCTGTCAAGGCACTTCATTTAGGCCCCAAAGGCTCCAGTTCTTGGGGAACCTGGGGTTTTAAATAGGTAATCAGTTAGGACTAAGGAATAGGGACCAAGGCAGAAACCAGACTTAGGAACTGAGTCAATATGAGAATTGGGGGAAAAATGGAGTAAGGTTAGGAGAGGAGAACCAGGCTTGGGACCAGATGACCCCCAGGTGGAAATAATGGAAGTCTGTTATTCCTATGTACAGTTGGCAGCAAGATTGGCTTGAGGACCACACAGGACAATTCAGTTCCATTACCGGACCATGGATATAGTTCTTAGGCTCATTCACTCAATTTTCAAGTCCTTTGCAATTGGGGCTTGACTCAGACAAGATCAGCTTGGGAACTGGAGTGGGACAAAAGGAGCAGGCAGACGGCATGGGTAAAAGACAGGAACAGCAAAAAAAAAGAGCATGGGTAAAAGACAGGAACAGCAAAAAAAAAGGGCATGGGTAAAAGACAGGAACAGCAAAAAAAAGATAAGAACAATGCCTGAAGACACAGCTTAATGTGTCCTTTTATCTGCAGGCTGCACTTTTCTGCCTACCGCACCTACAACGTTTTTACTACTACTAATATGGTTATTTCTATCCATTTCCCTCTTCTGGACGTAGACCTCCTTTACATTTTAACTGTACTCAGATGTATAATTTTTCTGTGGTTTAAGATTTTTTTTATATGAATTTATCTTCACAATATTTATGTATGAAAAGGCAAATATTCTTATTATTATTTTACAGATGGGAACGCTGAGCCTGTAATGTTTCAGTGCCATAAGTGCAAACAAAACCTTGAGTCCAGGATTCCTGATTGCAACTCAGAGTTCCTTCCATGAGACCCCACTCCACAATGTAGGCATAATTTATGGCTGACAATATGGCAAAGATTACTTGCTTAAAATATTGCCTCTGCTCTTCACAGAAAACTGTATCTCTGAATGGCAGTAAGTGCAATCC